GACAGAGCCATGCTGCAATAAAAACATTTAGATTTATTCACAAATGCTCTTCAAAATAATATACTACTATTATTACTCTAGCGCTTCATCGGGGTGAGCAAGCTCATCGACAATCTTGGCTGCCTTTCTTGAGGGGTTGTAGAACGGTATTTCAATCTGTTCAGGCAGCTCGCCATAATCATCACTTTCCTCAGAAACCTCGCTTGCCGTTTCGGCTGCATGCTGGGCCTTGCGTTCAATGGCTTTGCAGTTCTTGTGTGGTGGGGAACATTTTGTAGTCAAGAACAGAGTGATAGATTTATCCTCATATTGTTCCTTGTCAAACACAAAGGAGCGCTGCACTGGGACACTCTTTGCTTCTAAATTACCAGTAAACACTGTTTTCACCAGCCTGGCTGAAGCTCCCTTGTAATCAAACTTGTCGCGAGCTGTAGCCAGTAGCTCCTTTCCCGTGACTGGAAGGCTCTGGTGGAAACTGATGTAGTTGGGTTTGGAGCTACATTCGCCGACTATTTTGTTGCAAATGCTTACTAGCAAGACTTCCTTCTTGGGTGACAACGGCCAAATATCCATAGTAAAGTAAAAAAAAAAAGCTGTAAAAACCAAGTGGATTGAAATAAAAAAAAATGTAAGGGAAGAGAAGAGAAGAGGTGTTCTTGGGGGGAAGAGAAAAAAAAACAGCTTTTCTAATGTGCATCCTGAAAATACAATGCAGCGGCCACGCAGTCAAAAGGAATATTTTTTTACTAGCATAGCCAGAAAGACGACTTTCAGGCCTTTTAATATCTTGGCGGGTTGTTCTTTGCAACGTATTTCTTTGTTCATTATTTCTGATATTTATTTAACCAAGACGTATGTACTTTAAAACCTACACTTTCAGATGGTAAGAACCTACTTTAACTACTTTGCACCATCTTTAAGCTATCCATGGTATCTAGCTTGATTCAGCTCTAGTAGACCATTGACTTGGTTGGTGAATTACCATTGTAAGATTTCGAGAACAAGATGCAAAAAGGTAAAAAAAAGATGCTACTCCCAGCTTCAAAAAAACAATAATGTCATTATCAACAATGTAGAGACTTTAAAAATCAGGTGTTTGATAGAAAAAGCAGCAGAGTACCCACGTTTTCTCTCACTTTCTTCTCATACAAAGAAAACAAGAAATTCCGCCTATAGCCTCAAAGGACAGTGACATCATTCTTAGTACTTTTAGGAGTGAAGAGGTGATGTATTTTACTAGAAAAAGAAGCAAACTGTATATTCTTTCCAACTGGCAAGTATTAAGGCAGCAAAACAAATGTCTTGTCCGTGTATTGCCCGTCTTATATGTCAAAAAAATATAAAATATAATACAATAAATACTATTGCAAATGCTGTGCCTCCTAGTTTAGAGTATATTGCGCAGTTACACTTTACATTGCTAATGTCTCTTCTCCAACACCAACCTTTGCCACTATTAGGCACCTTAATGCTAAGCAGTGTGTTTGTGTATAATACTGTAATAGAAGGCACGATAAGACATTAGCGTCTAAAAGAGAACAGTGTCCTCTCAATATATATATATTCTGCGAGTTTGGAGAGTAGACATTAGAAATTTGACAATAAAAAGTTTTTATCATGCTTTTGTCACAATGCACATATAGCACTATAACATGCATGTCTAGTGAAGCACGTCAGAGAAAAAGTCTGTTGCTTAGCTCTGGAAAATGATGTTTCTGTGAGACTGGTTCTATATATCAGTGGTTAGATTATTTCGCCTACACCGAAAAGGTCGCCGGTTCGATCCCGGCTGGAACCAATTTTTTTTTTTGCTTATTGTTTATTTCTGGCTGTTTAAGCTCGAAACTATTTTTTTTTCTACTATTCATCCTGCCAAAAGAGTGTGCAGCGACAACATCGCGTTCAGCAATACGTTGAGTACCAACTATGCTGATATAGGACAAGTTCATCACCTTTTCATACAGCTTTTCGTAGATACCAGCAGATTTGTTTTGTTTTTACTTTGGCTCTTCTCTGCACTGAAAAGTCTCTACTACAGCCATTGCACAGAGCTACATCAGGAGTATATAATTTCTGGTATATACTACTATTCTCAAGAATAACGAAAATTTTTCCATGCCAAGCTGTGTTTGGATAAGTAACTCAATTGCCTCGTCTGTATTACCTTGCTAACGTGGTGCCATTGACAGGAGACAGGCAGAACAATTGGGGGAATTGCAAAAGGAAAAATTGGAAAAAGGGAGTGGTAAGTGGAGAAGAGGTGGGCAGCCCCTTGTCATCGCCAAAGCCCATTTTGATTGTTGCTGGCTCTTTTTTCAGCCACATGATTTTTATTTCGGTGATCGGCGCCCCCGCACACTGAAAAAGGTATATTTTTCCAAGCAAGGCAGGTCCGTAGAACAGAAAAAGCACTCAATCGCTACATTGAATTTTTTACACCAACTGTTTTTCTTAAAAGAGTAAATATATAAAAGCCGAATAAAGTTACTTAGTCGAGGTCGGCAGAGCTAGGATCAACTCAAGTGCTCTGTGGTCACTGTGGATCCTTGAGGTGGTGTACGTTTCCTTTTTTTTGAAGGTGTCGATCAGATGAAACCCACTGACAGAGTCCGCGATGCACTTCTGAACAAGTCCATAGTCGATAATAGATGAGCCTGGTGCCACATTGGCCGGCTTCTTGCGAGCGTTCTTCGAATATGTTGGCACATTTTTCGTGTGTGGCTCCTTGTTAAGTATATCGAATCCTCTGTCCTCAGTTAGTTTACAAAGGATTCTACCACATGGGCAGCGGAAGGCATCCCCGACGGCCTTGCCCATCCGAGCATTCAAGTCGCCTATAACAATGAGTGGGTATTCGGCTTTGTCGATCTCGGCGATCAGCTCCATAGTCGCTTGCCTATATATGGCCTTATCCCCATTTTTCTTTGGCGGAAGGTAGGCGAACAGTAGCTGAAGGTGGGGAGTGGTGCCGCGCGGTTCCGCGATGAACAAAGAGATAGTGTGCTTGGTCGAGCTGCTATGAATGATCCGTTCACCAAGGTCTCCGTGGTTATATCCAACCACCAAGCGGGTCATACTACTGCCTTTAGCATTGTCATATGCTCGGGTCTGCATGAACGTCCAGCCATGCACAACGAAGTCAACGTCCAGGTAGCTCTCAGATATAGCAACAATCTTAGGTCCAAACCCAGCTGCGAGGCGGTTGCAAATATGAGCAAAGGTCAAACTCAAGCCAGTTTTCCATGAGTTGACAGAGAAAATGCGAGCAGAATTCTCTCCACAGATAGTAGGGGTAGGCGAAACTTGCTGAAGTGCACGGAGATCCATGTCGCATTGCTGTGCCACATTGATCCGTGCCTGGTTGCGACGGTGTTTTGCTTCCTTGTTCTGTCTGCGCCGGTTCCTTTCTTTGGCCTCTTCCGAAGCATAGGCCCGCTTACGCCTGTACTGGAGTCGATAGTATTCTGCACGTTTGGCCTTATATGCTGCCTTTTCGTCATCGGGCAGCTCTTCAATTTTGCGTCTTCGTCTCTCGTTAGATTCATGCCACTGTTCCCTCTTTTGCTCTTGATCCGCTAGACCATTCTCGTAGATGCGCGGGATCTGATGCTGATATCTTCGTCGGCCAGATGACGGAGCATCGGGGATAGCGGGAGTTGTAGCTGACACAGAGGTGGCTGCTTGAACTAGTGCAGCAACTTGCTCCGTTTCGAGATTGAGAACAGCAACATGCTCACGCGCAGTCAATGATTTCCACCAAAAATCGAACTCAAGCCCAGCTATCTGCGCAGTATTCTTGTAGTACTCATGCTCCCACCGCTTATGCTTATGCTCACGCTCTAGCTCTTTCTGTCGCTCCTGCCTATAGCTCAAAGTGAATGCTGATGGTGTGGGAGTCTCAGCTTGGGGGAAATACCCATGCTTCTCATATGGACAGGGATGAGTACAGAAAGCTGTGCACTTTAGGTGTAGTGAGGCTAGGCGACGTGGCTGAGTTGTGGACATTGTAAAGTATAAATAAAAAGAGGCGATATTCAAAAACACAAAGGAGTACTTTTCTTGAGCTCATGGCTAGCTGCTGGAAGGGGCAAGGATATAAATACTAAAGCAGAACCTTAGACCATCTCATGCTTTAAGTACTTGTATTTTTGAGTTCTGAAGCTTGTGATGATGCTTGGTCTCATGAAGGGTGATTTGAAAGCATATCTCATTTCCTAATTAATTAAATACGTGGATGAGCGACTTGTGATTTGTGAGGGTGTTTGCAGATGATATTTGAAATACTATTTGAAAAGGCCAACAGAAATTATAAGACATTACTCGATAATGCTGTTGCAGCATACAATAGCTTTTTTTTGTAGAACGCAATGTGATACTAGAATTTAATTCAAATAAATAAAAGAGAAGATAAAGAGTTCTATTTTGTAAACAACAATAAACTCTTTTAAATAACAACGTTCTACTGCGGCTAAGCCGCAGTCCCTTGCCCAGACCGCCGATTTAGTGATCTTGATTAGTTCTGCGTGACACGCAATAAAAATATGAAATCTCATACCATATGAGTAGCTCCCTACATGACCAATTCTGCCCAACTTTTATCAAACATATGTAGTTGCACATTGCATTTTTATGAGTCTATTCATATTTTTAATAAACAATGTTATATGCAATACTAAATACTGTCTTAGGCAACCTCGGTGAACCCATTGACTTGAATCCTTCCTAAAAACGAATTATTAAAATTTGCATCAGCTGGAGGATTAACCAAATAGCTGACAAGTTGATCATCAGTCATATCAATTTTCCTTGACATTAATTTTATACTCGTCTTGGACCATTTAACCTGGTCGTGCTTCATGTATACTACAGCATAATCCATTGTGACAGAGTGGAATTCAGGGTTTTCTGCGTCTTTATCCTCCCTGAAAAACTTTTCACCAATAGCGAAAAAAGCCGTGTAGGTTCCTCATAATATTTTGTGAATTCACTTTACTTGTCATGGCTGCCTGGTAATATTGGGGTATAGGGTCGCTATCAATATGGTATGCGCCTAGTGCATAAGCAGTACCGTCCTCGCCCCTTCAAACATATAAACCCTTATAGTAACCATTGCCAACAAAGTGTTTAGAAACAAATGTAGTGAAATAAGTAAGAATAGTTGAGATGTTGTCCAGCCTCCATTCCCTTCACATGGCCTCCTTTTTTATTAGATGAAAGCCAAACGGCTGTCTCTCCTCTTCCCAGTCAGAGACCAGCATTTTTTAAAAGACAGATATGAACAATTGTCAGATATTTACCATAGAGTATCCGCATTTTCCCCACTACTTTCTGGAGCTATTAAAAAAAAACACATTTCCATGTCGAATTCTTGTTCAGTCATAATAATGGATACGTAACCCTCCCCCAATCCATCCAATTTTTGCATTCTTTCCAGATTTTTACTTTTAAAATCGACGACTTGCTCTAAAGCAGTGCTGGACATCTTCATGAGCCAAACACATTCCTACCACGCATAATAATATATTACATTATTCTTTCCGCCAAAATAGCCGCACCATATGCAACTACTATGTTGGGATCTATAGACTTGCACAGGTCCTTGCCAAAGTACTCCGCAATTTGCTCTTGAACCATAGGAATACACGACGACCCGCCAGCCATAACAATATCTCCAATATCGCTCTTGTCTATATTCGACATACTCAGAATACTCTTGACCAGCCCCAAGATCAACCGGACCAGCGTCTGACAAAGTGTTTCAAAGTGTAAACGAGTAATCTGGATAGAGTCAATATTGGCTGTAGCCTCCATAGACAACTCGTGTTTGGCTTGCTCACAGGCAGCCAAGAGACAATGCATAGCGGCTGTATCTCCGTAGACGTTTACTTCGGATTTACCATTGAGCTCCTTGATGTAGTAATTGGCTAGACACTGGTCGAAATCCTTGCCGCCGAGAATGTAGTTGCCAGTAGTGGCCAGTACTTTGATTTTTCCAGATTTAATGGCAAGAAGTGATACCAGAGACGAATTCCCGCCTAGATCAACAACGAGTACTCTTCTCTTGCCACCACCACCTTTGTCCAGACCATAGGCAATAGCAGCAGCAACGGGGTCGTCGATAATACGGACTTTGAGACCAGCTATTTTGGCAGCACTCTTGACAGCCTTGCGCTGTGAATGGGTAAAATGAACCGGTACAGTGATGACCGCGGTTTTGACCTCGACGCCCAGAAAACTCATAGCGTTCATGCGTATTTTGCCCAATATAATAGCCGATATATCCTCAGGAGTAAGTACTGTCTCGACTTGGATAACTGGCTTACCACGTCTATTACTGACTACTGCGAACGGCCAATGCGCAAGGTTGGACTGGACAACGTAGTCTTTAAACTTGCGACCTAAAAGGCGTTTATAGTTGAATATAGTGTTTTGCGGGTTTACAGCAGCTTGGTCCTTGGCGTCTTTACCTATCAGGCATTTAGTCTCAGTAAAGGCGACATAGGAGGGAATACAGCTGTCAATGATTTGTATCTGGTCGTTCTTCCAGGCACAGGAACTTGAGCTAGTAGCACCCAAATCAATACCAATAGACATTGAAAAATAAAGGAAACAATAATAGGCAGAAAAGAGTAGTGGGCAGATTTGCTCTTATTATTAATAGATGCGGAAAAGGGATATTTAGATGATGGGAGTACATAAATAGACTTAGTCGGTGTAAATCTTGGTTCCAGGGACAGCACACAGTATAGCAGTGCTAATAGCAGTCATGACAAGAGCGCCGATAAACCAACGAATACT